TTGTATTACTCTAGTATTTGTGCTTTAAGTGAAAATAAAAAAAATGTTAAAAAAAAAAAAAAAAAGAAAAAAAAAGGTGATCAAATTTGCTGGTGTATCGATTTTCCAAAAAGCTGAGGGTACACTGCCGCGGAGGAGGCTTGGATACGAGGTGAATTTTTTATAGATCAGACGTGATACGGTGAATATTGCGTTCGTCTATCACACGGTAAGTAATGTGCATAAACATGTTTTGAAACACCACACCTTAAACGTTCAAAGTGAATACACTCCATGTATTTGATAATCGAGCTAAATATTCCATTACATTGCATAAAAGACAGTTGCTAAGCAAACACTAGTTAACTATAATACTACCATGGCAAAATAAAAATATCGTCATTCTCGATTTGTACAAAAACAAATTAAAATTGTGAAAACCAACGACGAACGACTACATATGTAGCGTTCCCCATACATTAAAAAATGCTCACATAATCACTAACCTAGTTGCTCCAAACAAGCACTTATTTTATTTTTTAAGACAGTATATATAGTTGTCTGCATCAAAAAACTTAGGGTGCCCATCGAGTTTATCTAAAATACTCCAGCTTTACTTTAAAGAACTTCTCTCTTGAGCTGACATACGATCATTCTAAAGCTTCAACATTTTCCACCGTCTATGCGTCTTTCCTTCAATAGATGCAATCAAATGCGTGTACAATATTAGCTAAACACATGTTGTAAAAAGGCTATCGATAAAAGGATGTAAATCAAGGATAAATTCATCATTAGATTCTTACAATTAATAACCAACTGGAATTTATTGGTAACTAGCGAAGTTATCTCTACTTTCCACCTAGTGGCCGTCTCTATTTAAACTAACTGCCAGGTTTGGTATGAGCAATATCTATGAGATATTATTCTAAACAATACTTTTGTGCTAAGTCTTTCCGCTGTACCAACTCATGGACTAATGCATCATACAAAGTCTTATAGTCTGCAGCTTCCCCATTGTTTGTTTTCCACAGTTTCAGCATATGAAATCCCCTTTGAGACAAATTTTTATATCTGTCTTCAATTTCTTCTATGTCATCTTCTGTAATTCCAGGTAGTCGACGTGCCAGTCGATCCCACTTGACACCAATAGCTTTGCCAAGTGTTTGAAGGTCATCATTACTTACTACTCCCTCTTGAATATAAAAACAAATAGAGAGTTAGTTATTTCAAGATTAACAGCTTTAAAAATTGTGACTCAGGAACAATTTTAGAATC